CCGAATACGTCTCAGTTCCGCTGCTCGAATAAGCCAAGTCTCACAGCCATACAACAAGACAGCCCTTACTGTAGCTTGATACACACTTCAGATTCAGGGACCGCGACGCAAAATGGTATAAAAAATCAAGCTAGGTGCTCACTATGTTTCCTCTGATACCTCTCAGATGATGTTACTATTTACGTTCTCCGGGGCGAAACTTGTGGGAAGAGAGTAGCTCTAATCAACTTTGAATGATACAGGCGGGCTAATCCTTGAGTATTCAGGTAGTTACGTCCATCAGTGTACTTGTAGTGGTCACGAAAACTCAGATTCTATCCAGCAAACAGAGTGAGCCTTGGGCGCGTTCATTTAGTCGATGCATCCTTCTCACCCTGTTGCGACTAGCTCCCTAAGAAGGTCGGAATCGAAAGTGCAGTATGCAGGGATTGTGCTTTGCTTTTCAAATCCAAGCGAACTACAATCTCCAGCATTCTACCGCCTGTTACGTGTTGCTGTCGCGTTCAGACTTCGGCACACAATCTAATGTGAGTTGGTGTGTATAACGGGTCCGGATTGTTGGTATGTCGGAAGTGGATGTCGCAGCTGAGAAGCCTGATTTTCTAACTCTTATCAACTTCCGTATGTATATGTACCTGGTTTGAGTCCACCGATCCAGACATTCCAAACCGATCGAAACCGGACCACGTGAATAGTTGCTCAGTGGTATTCGACAGGCCTAGCCTGTCGTAGCCTGATTATTGTTTGAAGCGCATATCTAATTAGACGCTGCTTATTTCTTTTCTCCTAATATTCACCTCGTGTTCCCTGCATGCCGATATTTTAGTCAGATAAAGCGTGATTGAGTACGCAGTCGTGTGATCGAAAAGTCATCTTGTTGACCTCACGATTAGTTGGCCACTGTCGGCCCCCATACAGTTATATGAGTTGAATTGATAAGTTTGGTTGCCCAATATTTATGTTTCTATTCGTGTGCCACATTTTCTGACTGCTTTCGCTCCGCATACGACCTTATGGTGAGTTTCCAACAGTGCCGTGCGAAGCAAATACATTGCGGTGCGGCAGTACGTCGATCTCGTTGACGGGCTCAGCTATGCCTGTAGGTGGCCAACATTATCCACGGAGACTCTGAGCAGCGAATATTATCTGAAGAGCACAGCCTCTCGGTCCTTCACGGTGGGTATAAGAACATGAAGGTCTACTTTTACTGAAATGCTCAGGCACTTCTCGCCAAATATCGCCGCCTTACAGCCTGGATTGGTTGAGCACACTGACTTTTCTGTTGTCTAGATGTGGGCGTCGTTACCGCCTCAGTTCACCTTCGAGCACGAATCTCTTAGTCCAGTTTGGTCTCATTTTATGTCATTGTATAAAACTATCTGCAGTTGACAAAGAAACTATGCACAAACACCATGTTTGCTTGACGATCGCTGAAACCTACTCGATGGCCCACGACCGGTTCCGTCCCTCTCGCAGGTAAGATTGTGTTTGCTTGACGATCGCTGAAACCCACTCGATGGCCCACCGGTTCCGTCCCTCTCGCAGGTAAGATTATACTGCAATGTCTCAAATATCGTACCGACTGAGACATGAGGCTGTGTTTTGTGCAGCACACTGAGTTGAGCTCATTTTGCAAACGAGTGTATTTCACTAAAATAAGTTAGTTGACCATTTGGAATGTGCAGAGCATGTCAGAAGCACTGCTTGTGACAATGCTGTGTTGGTCAACTTTCACATACTTCAGATCAGCGGTCACGAATGTCAGCGGGGCGGGTCGGAATATAGTAGCTCGAGTTTGGCCAGGAGCAGAGGTGTGCTGGCGTGTAGCTTCAAGATTCGTTTAGTACTGCAGTCCAAATTTCTCAACAAAAATCGTGACACCACCTAGCATTGCTCACTCAAAGGCTGATTTGATTTTGGAACGTCACCCCACTGGCACGTGTGAACAATCTGGTCGGAGCCCACCTGCACCAATCTCTTATTTTCCCGTTCGTGTTCTCTGCATCTGCTGTTGCCATTGATATGACCTGCTTCGAATCAGGCACCGTGTCCTCCATGAATTTAGGCATGGATAAAAGTTCACCAGTTTTTTTTCGGTGCTAATATGACTCATATTTACTTCCAGTACCTTATACACAGTTGTAGCTTGTTCAGATGCGGCGCGCTGCAGCATTCTTTTTACCTCCGAGCAGCTTCTCTGGATTTAGTTTCGTTTAAATCTGCCACGCGTCTTGGGAGAGGTTGGTTCGGCTTCTTTGCGATGCATCATCCTCCCTTCCTTCGAGATATCAATCTATCAAGCTAGGTTTGTTCATACCCTCTTTCAGATTTGGGCAGCAATGCATCCCCTGTCATCCTCAGAGAAACCGACTGATTCAAGCGGATGAGCATCGCTCATACGAATAACTGCGGGTCCTTTCCTGTCTACTTCAACAACACGATTGCTTAGCTAGAAACAGTGCGAAATTCGTCTAATTGATTCTCTCACGCAGGACCCGTTATCCTGCGTTGCTAGTTGCCAGTTGTCTCTTTATAAACGTCAACTGTTGTTCGCCTTTTGTCGAAATATTGGCAATGTGAGTGAGTTCGGTGGTCGTAGCTCAGGCGCCTACGTGTGGCTTTCGTTCCCTTAGTCTCCTTATCCTCAGCGGTCGAAACTGTGACGGTTGGATCCATTGGACTTTGGCGCACGGTTCGTAGCTAAATAATTCAGCTAGCAATTAATGTTGACGGACGAATCAACAGACGTTCATCTGAATCTCCAGTTTTTTCTTAAAAATGGTATTCAACTGAACATGCTGCACATAGGTCGATTCAGCTGGAACGACTTTATGGACAGCGTTGAAACAGGTTTGGATAGCATATCGTCCCAAAGTAACTACGGGCGGCAAATTCAGTTGAAGACCATTCAAAAGCAAGGGATTCAGGTCAATTCCTCAACATCAGCTTAGTTTGTAATTGATTGCTCATCGCTACACGTGTACGCATTGCTGTCCAAGAAACAAGCCGACCTGACGGGAGTTTGAGCAATGGCCCCACCTGATGAGCCTGAAGAAATACGAAAACGGTAGCCTTTACCGGTCTCCTAAATAGTATGGGTAGTGTTGGAATAAGTTGCGGTATTTCAGCAAAGGAAATCCATAACACCGCATCAATTTATTTGAATAAGGCCTTATGATAGAAATTGGGGAAGGAGGGGGACGTAAGGCTAACCGACAATAAACATCTGAAGTGTCTACACCTGGAACTCGACAGCCGGTTAGAAACTGACAGCCTGAACCGCCATGTAGCATCTCCGAAAATGTCACCATACGCAATTTACCGGTAAAAACGAACTTGGAGTTGATAACAAAACGGGCTTAGAGGCACAACACCCGGCCTACTGTATATTACCAATGGATGACATAGGATGAAAGCTTTTTCAGCTGGTACAGGCAAGATTCCGTCGCGAGCGCACTGGGAGGGTGCATTTGAACCGTCAGTCAGAAGCAGGTGGCCACTGGATATGATTAATGCATGCCAGATTTTCGTGCGGACAATACCTGCACGCTTGCACAGACCGACTGGCGGTTCGCCACCGTAACTCTCCCCGGGTTCTGATACCATAGCGTTGAACGCGTTAATGATCAACGAGATACATCAGTGTTTAGGCACATTGTCAGACATGGCCCAGTCGCGCCTGCAATCGTGCTTGTGCATCCAAACTATTGACATCAGTGCATAGCTCCCCTCCCAATCTCCCCAGTGACAACCCTGTGTTTGCGCCTAAATTGTCAGCTACCGCCTCCAGTGCGCGGCTGTCTACCCAATCTCCACAAATCATCGATGAACAAAATTGTGACCGACTGTGGAAGTTTCAAGACGAGGACTGCTATTCACACCACAGCGGCTGATAGCCGAGGCGGTGGGAATTACTAAGCATCACAGCGTGAATAGAATCGAGGGTGTGGAGCTAGCGAGCGTATGGAAAGCGGTCTTAGATAAGCCGAGTTGACACGTGATGGTGTGGTTGTCAATCCACTTAGGATCATTAGAAAAAAAACGGGGGAGGGGTGAGGGTGGAAACCCCTACCGACTAAAGATCACAGCATCCCTCTGCACAACTTTCTTAGCACTAGCTCACCCACATAGACTGACAGAAGGTTCAAACGAAGTTCAAGAGGACCCATCGAAATGAACCGAGCCGGAAGAACTAGACCCTAGGCTGAACCCAAACGCATGTAGGTTTCCCCACGGACCCAACACTTGTTCAACCACTCTGACACACTAAAGTCCTTCGGCCGACACCTAACAGAGATTTAGCTTGACTTAGCTGATTGGTTCTCCTTCCGCCTTAAACCTCGATCAACCTCGGAACCTAGTCACTTGACCTGACGAAGCTTTTGTGTCAAAAGCGAAACGTTGCCCAGCAAAAAATCTACCGATTGTCACCAAATGTTTTCGAAAACTGTGACAGTTTTAACCGCTGTACGACAATCCTCACACAGCTGATGATAACGTCTAACGGAGCTCGTCTGATGGGCACGGAGAGGACGAATACAGGTCCCTGTGCTTAGCAGTTATAAAAGCGGAACATTTGGCTACGTGATCCCTGGTTAACGACTGGAACAGAATGCTTATCTAGCATTCTCAGTTACCCCGTCAGGGTTCCGAATCTGGTGTTTGTTCTCTCCTGGTTTGTCGCATCAGCCACCGTGGTGAAGAAGGACTCTAAACTCTGCCCGGCCATTGTGTATCAGTAGTCAGTCTCCACAATTTGACTTATCTCGAGAGTTGGCCAAACTGTATAAATTTACTACGCCCTTTCAGGTTTTCGTTTCTACTGTGACCTTAAGTTGGGTCGTGCTCATTTGAATTGATTTGCCTTTCTTCTCTCTAAAATTACTCCTCTTATTCTCGTTGGTAGAAATATCGTGCAATGTACGACTACGAAGCCAGAGAAGATGACGAAGTGACGTTCATCGAAGGAGATATCATTCTGAACGGCGATCCCATCACAGAAGGCTGGATGTACGGCACGGTCCAACGAACTGGTCAATTTGGCATGTTGCCCTCCAACTATGTTGAACCTATCTGAATGTATCTCAAACTGTAGTCCTTTGCGCACGGAACTGGTAGCCCCGACTTTCTAGCATTCCACCTCGCTACTCCTTGTTTCTCAAAGTCGTTGTTCTGGACTGAGCAGCTGAAGGTTACTCAGGTCTTGCGGCTCTGTTTCCACTCCTTTTCTGCACCTTTTCACCCGAATGCCTTCTGCTCAACTACAGAGTACTACTGTTTCATATTACAAGCCTCATCGTCCGCACCGGCCGATTCCTTCGCCCTCAATTTGGCTTCCTTTCATTCCAGGTAACTCAATGCATTCTGTTTCTTTTTAGATGAAACTCGACTTCTCCGGCTTTTTTTCCTTTCATCAGTTGTTTTTTTAAGCCTACGCATGTTGTCATCTGGACGCATGCAATTTGAAGAGACGCTGGAAAAATGCAACAGCATGTCTTTGTTGAATTCAATGTAGAATCGTTTTACACCGTTGTATTGAGTTTTCCTCCATCAGTCAGGGAAACAGTCGCCTCTGCTGGGAGTTCAACTGTCACGTTTCGGACAAACGGGACCCATCATGCAAGTGGTGTTTTGAGTATCAGAGAGGAAAATACTGCACAAGTGACGCGGTCATTCTGGCGAAGAATCTTCCCTTGGGGAACTAGTCATCACCGGATCACGTGAAGCAGATCACATCACTGGAAGACAAATTATGCCACAACCTGGTGATCAGCCTCTTGTATTTGGGTGGTATCCAACCCGGACTCGCTAGGTAGTCGCGTATTGTCGATTGTTTGCAGAAACTCAAGCAATTACAGAGTGATTCTCTGTTTATGAGGATGTACATATCATCATCAACAGTATGACATCGGTGTTCAACACCGATGCTTCACTGTCGTACAACCATGATTTATTTGAAGGTCTTGTTGTAAAGAAAACAGTAACTATGGGCGGGGAAGGGACTTAGTGCTAGCTTACCACAATCATTCCGAGGTGCCTACACCTCCAGACACTCAGGCGATCTGGATAGAAACTGACAACAAGAACGCCACTGACATTGGTTGGCAGCCATATCTTGTAGTGTCTCCAACCAGGCACAGTGAGGACGACGCGGTCCCCATCCTGGAAGGCGAGTAGCACCGACAGCACCCAAGTTTTTCGTGGTCTCCTTCATAATCCTCTGCCAAGTCAAGGGTTGACCAGCTCTCTGTTTACGCCACTCTGGGTTGGGCATGGAAAACAGTACTCTTTTCGGCAAACGATGGTTCGGCATACGCAACACATGTCCCAACCAACGCAGCTTCGGGATGTATATAGGATAACAGTGGAACGGCCATGTGCTCCTTTGGGATTCTCGGCCCTGCCGAAAGCCAAGTGGGACTTCATTTCCGGGTAGGATAATCGTCTGAAATGCTGCGTTATTTCCCGATGACTTCCGCAGTGAGGCATACATTGTGTGCCATTCGGGTTCGCTATTAATGAACCAAATGGTTGCGCTAAGTGCATGCATCGAACAACTTCCAGGCTCGTGGCCAAGTGAATATCGTCATCGGATGCCAACTGTGAACGACTTGTGGTAACTTTAGCTAACAGAGTTTTGTCACCAGTAAATGCAAGGATTGGAGGTTTGTTCATTTGACACGGGAGAGCTATTGACGCTGTCGTGTACAGTCAGTGATGATTGCAAGCACGCGTTGAAAGGATGATTGCACCATTCGCGTTTCAATCCACGCACAACAACAACTAGGTCGGCGCAAACGGTGACAAATAAACTTAAGCTACATATTAAGTCAGCCTTGCAACGTCTGCTGCGAATGTCACGGGAACATAAAGAAGCCATTTTTTCTTCAATTTCAATGTTTGGTGATTCGGAATACCGCGCATCCAAGGCAGGGTGCTCGGGACAGCTCCGTAGCTAAAGCGCGAACTTACTGACGGAAGGTCCGTGGTTCAAACCCAAATCAGACATCTGAACTGCTTCTGTATAGGCCCAGGAGCTCCCATGCTTGCTTCGAGCGGCGTCGCAGTCATGAACCGAAAGAGTACAATACGTGACAGATTATTTATTGTTATTAAGGCGGTGTACCGGATTTCGTGCGGTGAAGCGGACGCCCCGGTGTATCTTCTTTCGACTCTTGTTCATGAGATACAGGGTTTAGAATGTGTTTATTCGAAATTTGGCTAACTACAGAAACTGGTTCAGGAAATCGTGTGCTGTTTGCCCGCCGTCATTTTGAGCTGATTTGTATAGGTCGAACAGAACGGCCAGTTTGTGAGCACATCTCACAGTAGAGGTATGGGCAGAGCAATGAGTCCGTATACCCAAATCTGGATCGGGTTGATCGATTGCAAGGCACCTGATCACAATAAATCATGTGATCGACCCCAGTGCTGCGTTTAATATCCTGCCTCGCGATCGTCACCAAGCAGTTTTGGCATTCGCTGAGCGGTCAGATTTGAGCTCAACAGCTCCACTTACCATGGTCATAGTTCATAATCTTTATGAACATTGGTCGGTCACTGTTCCTACTAAGACGCCGTTATACATACTTCTTTATGCAAGCGATTAGAAAACGTAGTTGAGAGATTTTAACATTTCATAACGCAGAATGTACTTTTGTTAGATAGTGAAAGATTAGCTGATGTCCAGTCTTCCGTAAGCACTCCACGAAACCTCAGGGTGTACGAACGAAGATGGGTGGCACAACACACGAGTCCGTTTAGTTTGGGACACCACAAAACATTAGAAAACTGCTATTTGGGGAACGTTGGTTGTACGGATGGCCGTTGTTGTGGTCTCTCAGTCGACAGAACAGCGGGATCAGTCAACGGTTTACCGCTATGGTGAACATGGTCAACGAGGGCATGTGCGTGAATGTCTCATGGCTAACTGTAGTCCCAGCTAGTGTTTTAATGACTACTAATTGAAACGCCAGGAAACATCCGACCTACCTTTAAACGATGCTTCTGGTGTAGCCACTGAGCTTAAAGTTCGTGTCTGTATTGCAGGTGGATAATGAGGATATTAGGACAACAGTGTAGCCAACCGGGGTCCAAACGGGAAGCAAAAACGTAAGGGCCTTGTTGAATGAAGTGGTACCAGTCATGCTGCGTCTAGTGATTTTGTCGTCCAAGACAGCTATCACACAAAACTCAAGTGAAACCCTATTTCATTCTCCCATCGCAACTACCAACGATGTGAGAAACTACGTGGACAAAATGCTATCCGGAACAGCATGTGCAGACAGGACGGGCTAATTTGAAGTCGACAAGATGGGTATTGGTTGGTCATCAGAGACCGTGAACAAGATCAATTCTAGAACTTGTTTTTGAAATGTCGGAACACCACAAACATATGTATCGCTTGAGCCGGTGGGTTCCATCGATCAGGTTATGGCTAAATGCCAGAACATGGTTCGTGGCTTTTGGAGGTCGTGTCCGAAATCCACATGATTCACAATCTAAACTGAGGCTTCGTTTCAGAAGGGCTTGGTAAACAATTGGTAGTTCTTTTGTTTACCGAGCCATTCTGAAGTTGTTATATCTGCTGATTCGCCGGCCTGTGGTATCTGCTGCTGACCCGCTCCAGTGCCTAGTGTCGGAGAGAAAAAGGCTCACGGAAGGGAACACAATAGCTATATTCCAACAAAGTGGTTGCGAGAGCGCGAGTGCGAAAAGTACAACGACCTCAAGCTTTTTTATTGGAAGGACACCGTCTGAACTTGGTCCAATGCTGACGCACACGGTCTAGCTTTGGTACGAGGCAGCGACGTGCTGCATATTGCGGAGGCGTTGTCTGACCTTGAACAACCCTGACTCGCGCTGTCTGGGTTTGATACAAGGCTGTGACGCGCTGCATATTGAGGGGACGTTGTCTGTCTGGTCAACATCTAGCGGAGCTGAGAGTCTCCGTAGATTCCGGGCTTTCAGGAAGCTGACCTTCCTGATACCTCCCCCTTTTGAACGTCCAACATAAGATTTTCGACGCGGATCAAGTTGTAAAGGTTCCACCCTTTTTCTGATGCGACCGGTACGGCGTCTTGGTTGTGGCAATGGATCTGTTTTGAGCGGTACATGCGTAGCACTGGCTGTAGGTGCTGGTCTTGGGAGATCAAAGGTTTTAAGCAGTAGGTTGAGATCTAGTAACTGTTCTTCCGCCTTTGGAATCTGGCACTCAGTCGGCCGTAACTGATTGACATGTCGTCTCCATATCAATGATCCCACTTGGAAGCTGTAAATCACCTGACCGATTCTTTTGAGGACGAATCCAACAGTCCATCTTCGGTTCCTGGGGCGATAGTCTCTCACAAGCACACGGTTGCCAGCCCGGAATGTTGGCTTCCCCCTTGTCGGTGATCGAAAACATGTAAGTGTTGGTAGGATAACGTCATGGGCAGGTTTCAACCGTCTGTTCATCATAACCTCTGCTGGAGAGCGACCGTCCGGAGACTGTGGATTAGGAATTGCTCTATAGTTCAGCAGAAACGTATCCAGCACTTCTGTCGTGGTCCCCTCCCCTTCTGCTTTTGTCAACACACGTTTAAAGGTGTCAACGAACCGTTCAGCTTGACCGTTGGATTGGGGATGGAATGGTGGAGAAGTAACATGTGTGATGCCGTGTCTTCGAACGAATTCGCTAAACTGATGGGATGTAAACTGAGTACCATTGTCGGACACAATAGTTTCCGGGATACCGAATATTGAAAACAAATGTCGCAGTTTAGTGATGGTTGCCATCGTTGTTGTCTCCGACATAATAAAGACTTCAGGCCACTTACTGAATGCATCGACAACGATGAGGAAGCTTTGTCCGTTAATTGGTCCGGCAAAATCCACATGGATGCGCGACCATGGTTTTTCTGGCTGTGGCCAAGGCTGAGGTGACTGTCGGTTGGGTAACTTCTGGGCAGCTGCGCAACGGAAACAACTCCGACATAACTGCTCAATGTGCTCATCCATATCGGGCCAGTAGACATAGCTGCGAGCAAGAGCCTTCATTCGGCTTATCCCTGGATGTCCACTGTGGAACTGTGCTAGGATCCGTTGACGAAGTTCGGTGGGAATGACAATTCGGTCACCAAAGAGAAGACAGCCATTGACAACAGATAATGAACTCCGTCGCTGAAAAAGTTTCCGGAGTTCCCCTGGTGGACTGGTTGTTGGCCAGCTTGATTGGTGGTACTCCATTGCCTTTTGTAATATGCTGTCATTTTTGGTGGCATCTCGCACCGCGTCAAAAGTCACGGGTAGTTGGTTCATGGTCTCCAACACCACAGCACGGACTTCCGGTTCTGATTGGCTCCGTTTGCTTCGTGACCTCCGGGGTTGACTGCGTCTTTGGCTAGCTTTCCGCGTCCGGCACTGGCTTTCCTTGTGCCCACGTCGATTGCACACTGAACATTTGTGCTTTTTGTATGGACACAATCGCACAAAATGCCATTCGCCGCATTGCCAGCATGCTGAAGGAGGCATTGCTCCATTCGACTGTGTCACCACAGGAGGTTGCTTCGATGTCGTCTTGGCGATGTTGAAAGCAGGGTTGCATAAGGGCTTCTCCAACATGGCGCTGGCACTCATGAGTAATAGACTGCAGCGTTATCTCGGGAGTTTGTTCAATCTTGCTCAATAGTCTCCCCCTGATATCACTGTCTGAATTCGACTGAAGACCACATATGAAAATAAGGCACTTGAACTGGTCTTCTGTCATGGTAGATAACTTGAATTGTTCGCATTCAAGGTTGACTCTACCGGCATAAGTGATGTAATCCTCAGATTCCGTTTTCACCAGTTTCATACATTGGTAGTGAATATTAAACAAGGACGAATGCTCACCGAAAATCATTGAAAGTTGCTGCACGGTTTTGTCAAAACTGAGATCTCGCGTGTTCTTAGGCAGGATAAAGTTGGAATATCGTGTGTGTTCCGTTGTGCCAAGCTTTCTGAGCAATAAGCGTACTCTCCAGGCATCATCTTTGTGCTTCAGTTCGACTTGGAAAACATCTTCGTAACGTCTGAACCACGAATCGAAGGTTAGGCCGGCATCGGGGTCATAACCTAATTCAGTGATGCTGTTGGCAGTCGAGTTGACTGAATTTGTATCTGGAGCGGAATTTGGTGTTTGGATTTTAAGTTGCTGCGTCAATGTTTCCACCAAACGTAATTGTGCCGCTTCAAACTGGTTTTGTTGTTGCAGCAGAATTTCTTTCAACGCTTCAGCAGTTATTGTCATGATTCTGTGGGTTCGGGCGTCGCCAATCTGTTATATCTGCTGATTCGCCGGCCTGTGGTATCTGCTGCTGACCCGCTCCAGTGCCTAGTGTCGGAGAGAAAAAGGCTCACGGAAGGGAACACAATAGCTATATTCCAACAAAGTGGTTGCGAGAGCGCGAGTGCGAAAAGTACAACGGCCTCAAGCTTTTTTATTGGAAGGACACCGTCTGAACTTGGTCCAATGCTGACGCACACGGTCTAGCTTTGGTACGAGGCAGCGACGTGCTGCATATTGCGGAGGCGTTGTCTGACCTTGAACAACCCTGACTCGCGCTGTCTGGGTTTGATACAAGGCTGTGACGCGCTGCATATTGAGGGGACGTTGTCTGTCTGGTCAACATCTAGCGGAGCTGAGTCTCCGTAGATTCCGGGCTTTCAGTGGTTGCTTTCAGGAAGCTGACATTCCTGATAGAATTGATGACTCATCAATCGGTGCCAAACTTTTTCCATCTGATTCAAACCCGAGGCTCTATTGTCTGGCCACACGTGTGGCCATTTCAGGAGTCATGATTCGTCGAGTTCACCTGATGCTTAGTCTACTGTCTCCCATATTAGTAGGTAAATTTTCAACGCAAAGCTACGGTGGCAGGCCGAACTATTGAAACGTATGGTACCTGGCCAGTTGACATTTTCAAACAATCCAGCCAGTGATAAGAGCGAAACTCGAGTCCAGTGCTTACCTCGTTTGGTGTGGACTCACCAGAATAACTACCACAGGACAAGAGGACAGCGGAATTCAAGAGTCTATAGCACTACCTGATTGGGAAGTCCTGACAGGCGGGTCAATCGATCGTCACAACCAGGAGTTATTGGGTCAGGTGTGTCCAACGTGCGCTGGTGAAGTAATGGTAGCACGCTCGCCTCGCATGTTAGATGTCCGGAGTTCAATCTCTAGCAAGGCCATTGGACATGCACTGCTGATGAGCCCTAATCAGAGCGAAACTCGAGTCCAGTGCTTCCCCCCTTTGGTATGGACTCACTAGGAGGACGACTGTTCAAACGAGTGATGCGAACATGAACAAAACATTTCCCACAAACCGCAAATTTAACTCCATTGAGTGGCCGCTAATTTATAAACGATGGTCTTGGAAAGCAGTGAGATGTCTATAGTAGGGTCCTGGGAAGAGCCTGGGGACGTGATTCGGTGGGCAGTAGCCCGAAAGAAAAGAGTCAGGTTGCGTATCGCCTGCTGAGTCTGACGAGAGCGAAACCACGTTTTGGGATCCGACCATAACCAGTTCATGTGAGAAACGCAGTTGATTCCGAAGATATGCTGCTCCAGGCATTTAGTTCATCCGTAGAGAAGTCCCAGCATCCTTGTGTTAGCCAGGAGTTCCTTAAATTCTCAACCCACTGCGCACAGTAATAAATAAACTACCACGCCGTTACACATAACCATATATCTTAGGACAACTTATGTCGTGGTGCTAATTGCTGCAAGGAGTTGCTTCCAATAGAGCACCCCCGAATAGCGGTCACTCTTCATGCATACATACACTGTTACTCCAAAGAACAGCCATTCTGTTAAGAAATTCTCTGGCCCGTTCGAAAATTGTATCCCAAAGTTTTTACTCAGGTGAATTAATTCATAGTTCGGATGTTTTACTTAATATTGAAGTAGGGTTATTTTGGGAGGACATTGACAAATACTTCAACGAATCAAGAGTGAGGGTTCGGGATTTTAGATATTTTCAAATGTCAGGGCACAAAGGAAAGACGTCTCAGATGGATGAGGTGATCGTTCAGTGTGAGATACCGATACGGGAGCTGCTCACCAGAGCACAGAACCTTGTAGCGTTAAGGTCCGACTAATGAGCGATGTGTTTGGGCAATCAAGTGCGGTAATACGAGAAACGTGTGCACGTCTTCCAGCATCAAAGACCACCAGTGCTGCCAGCTCACCATGAACTCCGTCGGCCATTACCCACAAGTTCCCATCATACAGAGACACTCCGCACTAACCAAGAGAAATCGCTGTCCCCTAGAAATAGGTACACTCCTCTCCGCTCCTGTGAGATTAGCAAACTGAGGGGCTGCTTCATAACGACGGCCACTCCGAAAGTTCCTGTGGGGAAAGATATCGTCCAAAGACTCAGACGACAGATTATTGCGTCGAGGCTTAGTGTATTTTTGATAAATTTGGCATTTAAACAAGAAAACAGTGTAGCCAGTAAGAGGCTGTAGGTGTCATGACAGGATTTCATCTGTACTACGCAAAACTTATAGGCAATTTCGAGCTCCATGAAGACCATCGGCACAAGTTGGTCGAACTCACCGTGAAGGATTAAGATCTAATCAGTCAACCAGTGACAGCGCTCCCCTAAAACACGCCCAAAGTACTACTGATACTTCAAAATCAAAATCCAAACAAACAACAAAGACCGGGTTTCCAAAGTGTCAAGTATGACAACGACTACTTAAGTTGTCTGGCAAACTGGGAGACGAAAGTTAGAAAGGGAGAAATCTGAAAGCCCCAAAAAGTGACCCTCCACTGCTTTCAATGCACTGAAACACTCATTGGACGTTCGCCACATGTTCTCGGGGATGACGCACTCTGAGGCAGCATCAACCGCCACACTGGCCATCTATTCAAGACACCCACTCGCTAGAACGCGAGACTATGAAGTGAAACACAGCGAAAGTGACTTTCCGGACAAATATACCTGTCACGAATACTCATACATCATAATCGGTAGAAACTAACACCGTTCTATTTGCATTTGAATCACTTCTTCCCCGACTATCCTGGACAAACGAGGCCCTTGATCACCGAAACGTCAACTGCACTGGACCTGAATAGCTGTGCCTTTCAAATGCATCAATTGAATTGAATATGCGTCATCATCATCGACAGCATGACACCTGAATAGGCCTTTCAAATGCATCAATTGAATTGAATATGCGTCATCATCATCGACAGCATGACATCAGTGTTCAACACCGATGCTTCCTTCACGTACAACCATGACTTATTTGAAAGCCTTATTGTAAAGAAAAGAATAA